TGCCTATTTTCGATCAGATCCATCTTTTGATGTGAAAAATGGCAGGTACTACATTTCACAAGTTTTTGTGACCTAAAAATCATGGGCCTGTTTAACTACTTAACAATTTAAGAATTGTAGGGGTGGAAAATGCTTTTCTTTAAAATACTTTCTTTTTATAAGAAACTGTCCTGTAGCTCTAAATTTAACTAACCAACTGGGACTGGTCTAATCATTGAGAGATGTAAAACCAAGTGATTCCAAAGCTCAGCCTTAATCTTGACAACATTCCTGTCACATTCACTTCCATGATAAAAGACAGATTGCTTTTAAGTTGCTTTGATGACTTTAAAGTAGAACTTTTTTATTAACTGTTTTTCCCAAGATATACATTTCATACTTCTCTGGAAGTGAGAAATTGAGAGCATTTAGTAATTCATCAAAACCTTGGGGGTTTGCCTTGTTCTCTGAAACCCTAGTGATATTTTTATTAGATCTATTTTTGTTTCTTACATACTTAGAAAAAGTCCCATTTTTTTCCCTCATGAGAAACCATTTGCTAGTTAAGTTAAACACTTTTGAAAAAAATTTTCTTAGACTTTTTATCTCTTTCAGTTTATTCCACCTTGTATTTTACTTGTGGTTGGGGAGGGGGACTGTTCCAAAAATTATTGGTGTTTAACACCTTTAGAAAGTTCTTCCCACATTAATGTTTTTCTTTTTCCTTTGAAGCCTATTTCTTATCTTGTACTTGGAGGAGCTGTCATAGTCACCTTTCCATTTACCTGCAATAGTGGTTGTAATGGACTCAGCTGCTTGGCACGTTATGTTTTCTCTCTGTTTCATGGTATTTTTCAAAAGGTTTATTGCCTTTTTACCCAATTTGATTATTGCTAAGGGATGTCAGGGTTTAATGAATTATTCCTTTATCCTCAAATAAATATATAAAGCACAGAGGGATAAATACTGTATGTATTCTCATAAGTGGGAGCTAAGAGAGAAAGAAGGAAGGAAAGAAAGACCATGGTGGTGCATTGGACTTACAAAGGGAGAGAACATACCTAGGGATACAAAGTGGAGTGGGGAAAGGGGGATGGGGAGGGAGGT